GCGAATCCGCCGCCTCGTGCATCCGCCCTGTCTTCCTGTGTCTGTGTCAAAGACGATGGAGAAGCTTTTTAAAAAACCACCTGTGTGTAACCAAATGAGCTTTTGGCTTTCTCACAACTACTTTTCTAAAGCTACTTTTCAAAAAGTTATAGCCCACATCTTCTTTTTCAAAAGCCACCCTTTATTTTCGGCCACAAAGCCACATGTGTTATTAATTAATTTGCCAATTAAAACCTGATTAATGGTGGGTTGTGAGCACATGGTTTTGATGGTCGTGCTCATGACAATTAAGGACCGATTCGCGAGCTACTGTTGCGAAATATTAACCGTACCATCCACAAGCTAGCGTGGGCAACGGCTTTACCTTTTGTATAGCATAGCTCATTAATTAATAATCAATCACGATTGACCATCGTGAGCTACCATTAAAAATATAACAATAAGTGATAGTGAGACATGATTAACCCCATTAATGAGCTATTGTTTCTACGCATGGCTAAGCATCTATTATAAGCATATAGCTGAACCAAACCAATATATAAGGTTCAAGCTAATCAATTTATAACCCATCGGAAAAGAAAGTCATCTTCGGCCAAAACTAATTAGGAAAGGCTCACCACCCAATGATATTCGAAAATAATACATAAGTTAAAATAAAACAATAGCTTTAAACATGTTCAACATGCTCAAAGGGTTATTTGGGATTTGTGTGACTTGCCTTGAGCTTCTTCAAACACTTCTGAACCTTTCTCGACGTAAACGCTCTCCTCCGAAACGTAGGAAACTAAAGCAATTGAATAAAATCAACAAAACAGTACAAAAACAAGCATAAACAGTATATGTGTATATTTTTAACACATGTAGATCTTGATTTTAGATGAATTTAAAAACTTGAACCACTCGAATCCGAGTTATGATGATTTAGTTATGAATTTTCTAAGTTTAATCAATTTTTCATCTAATACAGAAAACTATTACGGTTTAAAATAAAGATTTATGGCTCCGGTCTGCACGATCGCCAGAGACAGAGGGCTCGGCTTAGGTTTTGTGAGGACACCAACGCGAAGAGGATGACGAGGCGAACACACCGGTACAATGAACGACGACAGATGACGACGAACGACGACCAGCGGCAAGGTGGGACGGCGGCGCGGCTCGGCTTGACGTCGACGGCGGCGCTCCAGCGGGTCTTTGCGGCGGCTGTTAACAACCAAATTTTGTAATCCAAGTATCGGAGATGGAGATAAATCGAAGCGGAATACAAGGTAGAGATCGTTCCGAAAACAGAGCGAGAATCGGCTAAAAGTCCTAATCGGCTACGATCAGGATCGGCAGAGTTCGAGTCGGACAAGGTTGGCCGATTAAGCCGATGCCAACAATGTGGCGCGGTACACGTTGTCGGGTTGAGTTAATGTGCTTCATGAGGATTGCCATGCATGGGTTGAGTCCTGAGAAGGCAATTGTATCTATTAATTAGGATATTTCACGTAATTTCCTTACAGATATGTTTGGGCAAAAGTCTGCCACAAAGACTTATGGTATCTTAGAGTTTATTAGAGATAAGAATCGTGTCCGACACGGACATATTTTGTAATCTCGGGTAAAAATAGACCCCGAGCCCTCATGTAATACAACAATAGACGTTCAATACAATCTTGGTGCATCGCCACCCTTTTTACTTTCGTTTTGTTTTGACGAGTTCATGCTTTCGGGTTGGGCTGCATCGGTTTCGATCTTCAACTAGAGGTAAAATTTGTTATGGCGGCTTGCGTTGTCAGGATTAGTGCTTCCATTTTCATGATACTCTAATCTTGTTTATGTAATTCGTCGAGTTATCATATCTTCTGTATAATCTTCGACAATATCATTATCTAACCTTCAATCGGCTAACATCTATTATTGGAAGGCAGCCGATTAGGTTAAATATCTATGTTGACTTAGATTATACAGGATATCCACCACTCTATGAAACATCCAATGGCTTGATTGTCTAGATATTTTCCTTTTCATACTTATAGCTGCATCAGTTGAGTTTGATCATATAAGTCGTGATTAGAATCTTAATCTCTAGCCTTCTTTTGGTTGCCGATTAGGGTAGTATCAGGGTTTCAGCCGATCTTACCTGATTTAGCTCTATATTTCATGTGCTTAATTGATATGCTAGATCTGCCCTTTATGTTAAGATCTTATTACAACAAAGTATATTATGATTTTATTTGATATATTTTACTTGCTTTAATATCTTACTATAGAGTGGTATCGGAGTATTAGCCGATACATGCTAGATCTATCTGATCGGCTATGCTATAAACATCTATAATCTCATTGTTAATATATATTTCGATCTAAGTGATTTATACTGTCTCGGCATGGCGACCGATCTATCTCAATCACTTGATTTAAGTATATATCGACATAAGGATTACATATTGTTGATATCTACAGCCGATCGAATAGATTTAGTTTTTTCTTATTTATTTATATCTGCCAATCGATCCAAATATGACATCGGCTCACAGATAAATGATATGTCATCGGCAACTAGCCGATCGGCTATCATTTATGGATTTAACCGCGGTTTCTTTGTCTTTATTTCTTGTTGATTGTAGGATCAAATCAACTAGCACGCTCACGAACCTAAAGGCAAGATTTTTGGACCTGCACTGAAGTTAAGCAGATCTTCCAGGCCTCGTGTTTTTCGCATCAACAACGCCAAAGGGGTGGACGAGGTGCGGCTGTGCATGGCGAAACCGACGGCGGCAACGGTGAGCGGCGGTGGCGGCAACCATAGCGGCGGCACTGGGCGGCTGGACTTGCGATGGTGACGCTAAGGCTTGCGCGGCGGTGATGCTACAGGCGACGGCATCGGCTAGAACTTGAGGCAAACGGAAGAGGGTGGCTAGGGGATGCTATTTATAGGCATGGAAGGGGAAGATGAATCTCTAAACGAGAGGAATCGAGCCGAAAAATCCTAAGGTTTAGGTTGGAGAGATAACCTCAAAAACGAGTTTGATTCGGATAAACTACGAGGAATTGGGCCCCGATTCTTTGGGGAAAAGAAAGAGGGAGATAAGGGGAATATTTCCCCTCAACTAATCGGACTCGGGGATGACCGTACGCGGTGGATTAGGCGGGGAGGCGCGGCGGCCCGGGCTGGCTCGGCCGGCCGAAGGTTGAAGAAGGCCCTGACATGTGGGGCCCACATGTCAGCGGCAGGGAGGAGAAGGGGGCGGCGGCTCGGCTGGGCTGGCTTGGTCCGCACAGCGCGCGCGGCAGAGAGAGTTAGGCCGGAAACGGCCCAACGGCTTAGAGGAGGATTTTTAAAACTTTTTCAATTAAAATACGTGAAATGATGTTTCATTTATTTAAAATACTTCCCTTGCTCAAATAATTCCCAGAAAATTCTAGAAAATAAGTAAACAAGCAAAGTATTTAATGGAATTTTATCTAGCTCAGTTTTATGTTACAATTTCTCCTGGATTTTACTAAGGTTTACCTTGTAGGCTCTTAAATTATTTCTAGAAATACATTAAAGAATGAATTATTAAATTAAGCGATTTTCAGGGCGTGACAGACCAGCCCGCCAAAATCACGGATTGATGCGCTGAGCGCTCTAGTTCCCGCTAAATGCCCACTGCTAATACTAGTAGTCTAATTTTTTATTATTATTTTCAACACGTTCTGATGAGTAGTACATTACTACACACAAAGAAAGGTGCTCCACTCACCTATAGGCACCGGGCCGTCGGCGCCCACTCGGACGCCATGGTGATGGTGGACTCATCCAACGGCTCCGCTCCCGGCCGTTGGAAAGACGAGAAAGACGAGGAAACTGGGTGGTTGGCCGAAATAAAGAGGGGTAGAAGGGGAAAATAACACATGTGGCTTTGTGGCTGAAAATAAAGGGTAGCTTTTGAAAAAGAAGATGTGGGCTGTAACTTTTTGAAAAGTAGCTTTGGAAAAGTAGTTGTGAGAAAGCCAAAAGATCATTTGGTTACACATAGGTGGTTTTTGAAAAAAGCTTCTCCCCTGACAAGTGGACCCCACATGTCATGTACACAGGTATCTTCTCCATCCTCTTTGACACAGACACAAGAAGACAGGGCGGCGGGGCGAGGAGGAGCGGCGGTGACGATGAAGTGAGCACTGAGCAGGAGGAGACGCTGACACGCGCGGTGAGGCTGACGCGGGCGGCAGCGGCGGATGCGCGAAGGCGGATGCGTGGCGGCGGCAGACGCGGGCGGCGGGGCGAGGAGGAGTGGCGGCGCAGGCAAAGTGAGGAGGAGGAGGAGGAGCGATGCCCGGTGGGAGAAAAAAAAAGAAGACGTAAACTGTTTTTTTTGTGTAATTGCATAGGTGGATAATTTTTTCCCAAAAAGCAGGTGAAGCCAGGGGTAGAGGTGCTTTTGATTTGTATTAGACTATCTTAAAAATAAAAAGAATGTAAGACTACTAGTATTAGTCGATTTTGCTATATATTTGTCGACAAATTTTCTCCCAAAAATTTGACAGATGTAATTACAGTACAATCGTAGTGTAATTACACTGTAACTTGCATGTAATTACGCTGTAACTACAGTGTAACCTGTATGTAACTTTCAAAAATATCTCTATAATATGTTGTGGGAACATATCCTTACACATATGTCTGTGCTGTGATTTTTTTCTTCCTCACAAAAACAAATCTTGTAATAGATTTAACGATTCAAAATTACGTGAAACTTATATACAAGTTACACTGTAGTTACATGCAAGTTACAGTGTAATTACATATAAGTTACAGTGTAATTACACTACGATTGTAGTATAATTATATCTGTTAAATTTTTAGGAGAAAATTTATCGACAAATGTATAGGTGGTCCCAATATTAGTATTAGTAGTGGGTATTTTGGCGGGAACGCTCAGCGCGCCAATACCACCTTTACTACTGTCTCGGTGTCTCCACAGCCATTAAAACAAAAAAAAAACAAAAAGAAGTTCATTTCGGGAGATAGAGCTCCGAGTCCGAGTCGCTTGGAATTCTCTTGTTCCTCCAGTCCAGAGTTGCAGAGCACCCGGCGATCGAGATGGCTCCCACCATTCCACCCACCACCGAGGAGGAGGAGGAGGAGGAAGGGCCTGCGAGAGAGAAGAGTAGGCGCAGAGGGAAGTGGCCCTTGTCCGACCAGGTCAAGATCCTGAGCGCCCTCGCCGCTCATCGTCAAGCTGGCGAGGAGCTACCGTCGGGGCGCGCGCTCTTGGATGAAGTGAAGCAGCAGCTGAGCCGGGAGAGGTTCACCGCGAGGGACCTTGACAAGAAGGTGTCCCACCTCAGGGACAGGTACATCGACCACATCTACAAGCCACCGCCCGCTCGCCGCCGTCCACACCAACACCACACCACGCTCTTCGACCTCTCCCGCAAGGTCTGGCCCCAGTTCCAGCATCCCCCACAAGCTCAAGCTGTGCACATCTCCTCCCATGGCGCCGACTCGGCCTCGGGCCCCATCGTCATCTCATCCGACGACAGCTCCGGCGATCACATCGTCATCTCATCCAAGGCTGCAGCCGCTATGGCTCCCACCGTACCCTTGGCCTCTCCAACTCCAACCATCGTCATCATCTCCTCCTCATCCTCCTGGACCTCCTCCTCTTCTTCCACCACCAGCACAGGCTCAGTCTCAGTCGGCGGTGATGAGGAAGCCACCAGCAGGTTGAGGAGGGGGCCCTACCGCTGCTGGGCGGTGGACGACGAGATCAAGATCATCGACACCATCGCCGCGCTCCGAAGGGACAACATGGGCAACATGCCGTACGCCGCCGTGCTCCTCCGGGCGCTCCAGGCCGCCGACCCACCGCTCCTCCGCCCTTGCCTCGACGCCGCCACCCTCTCCCAGAAGGTGTACCGCCTCAAGATCAAGTTCAGATCCGCTGCCATGGCTGCTGCCACCAACGCCGGCAAGAAGCGCCTGCGCAACAAACGCAACAAGGCTCTCTACCACCACTCCAAGAAGGCGTGGCCGGAGGAGCTACGCCAGGCCAAAGCTACCGCCGCCAACAACATCCAAGTCCGCCGTCTCCGTACATCCTACGGCGGCACCAGGGTTGGCTTCTCATCTCTCTCATCCATCTCACCACAATAGGTATCTTTATATGTGCTAGCTAGTTTCTGATCCCAAAGTTAAGTAGTAGTATATATTGTATTGTGATGTCCAAATGTCTCTAAATAGTTATAAATGGCTAGGTACTACTTAGATCTATCTACCACTAATCGTAATTATCGTCTTGTGTTTATCACCTCTTTAATAGAAAGCCAACTGTATTAGTACATAGTATGTTTGGATTATGGAGTACTGGAGTGGTATATATAAATGCCTGTTTATTAGTTTTTTTTACTGTGTTTAATTTATTGTACTCTAGCTACCTAACTACTACTTTCTTTGTTCTTGTGCCAATGGCAAGTTTAATTTACTCCCTTATCTCAGCATTGCAACTTGGAAGTTGTGTGTTACTAGTATTTACACGCTAGAAATAACAATCTTAATTCGAACAAAAATTATAAGTGCAATGGAATTCCCCATATCTTCCAAAAGCATTGAGCCCTTATATCTGCAATTTCCTTCAATTCCAAGTATAGTGAACTAAGTTACATATCTTCTCTTGAATCCTATGACAAAATTTAGCAAATTGTTATTGATTGATCATCTGTTTTGCCATTTGGTGTCACCTCGATCTCTAGGTCATATTGGAGTCTGAAATAGCTATTATGAGCTACCTGAGTTCAATTCCGTTGCTTGTAATTTCATGAATTTTTCAGGTCCTATAGCCTGGTTGATGACATATTTGCCCTGAGTTTTTGTGTTGCAATGCTCAAAATTTCAAATTGCTTGTAAGGTCAGGTTCGTTTTGTCAGTAGTGCTTGGGGCCGAATTAGTGTTTTACTGGTCAGGGGAGTAGTCTGTTAAGTTAGTAGATCGATTCTGTACTCCTTCTCCTCCTCTTTTCTTCTTCTTTTTGTTTTTTTTTTACTTAAATCGATTGTGTACATTTGAACTAGTGTACATAAGTGAAGGGCTTAAAACTTTTAGTAACATCAGGGGTTTAAAAAACTTTCGGGTTATTTTAGAGTTTGAGAATGTGGGGCTGGTTCAAAAGAAATTGCTAGCTAGACTAAGCAACCCACGTTTTGCATGTTTTTGTTCTCTTATTTCATCAGGCTTTTTGCTGAAGTTTTGAGCTGATAGTGCAGGCGATATAATCCTGGAAGTATATCAGTTCATTTATTTTATTACTGTACTATGTTATTGTGCTCGTTATCGATAAACTTGCTCTAAGTCCGGGAGATTACTTTGTAGTGTAAGGCTCCATTATTATAAAAAACAATGGTTCCAAGAATGGAGCGTCCAGGCAGAACTATCCATGACAATTTTCACTGAAGTTGTTTGTTGCAAAATTTCAAAGTACCTTGATAGTATATTGCTTGATAGGAATCGAATTTCACACTGCCGTCCCTGAACTGAAGTTTTATCTTACAACGTTACTGAAACAATTCTGTTTAATTGAATTGTTGCCCATTATATTACGTCCATGTGATCCTTGGGGTCAAATAGATTATTTGCTCCTGTTTTTCTAGAATACTAGTAATCGTGCACGTGCACGGCACGTTATGACCAATATGAAGAAAATGCAAGCAGGAAAGTATGTTTATCTTTGAAGTGTATGGATCATAATAGTGAGATATGTTAATCTGGGACCTGGTATTTAGATTTTTTTAAAAGAACACATAACCCTACAATGGTTAATCAGATATATGTTGACATTTATGTGAGTTTCAGATTTGTTGTATCCATTGTCAGAAGGAGACAACTAATCATATAGTTGCAAGAAAATATTGCCAGAATAGCAACACATACTAACAGATCATACAATTGAAATTAAAGCAGGATGCAACAATTCAGTCATTTCAGAAGGAAATCATCTCTGAAATAATAAGCATAGGCAAGTACAACTGCTAGTAAAAAGAGCACTACATATTATGGTCCAAAAAACCATATTATGTACGGTAGCCAGGATCCACAAGATCCAACATTGTAGGTATCTAAAAATTGCTTCCGACAGTAATGAACAGTTAACACTCCATTCCAATAAAGTTTCTTATTCTGCTCTTCCGTGCGGAGGTTAATTTAGAGTCAAGTAAGTGACTGTATATGCTGTGTTGATGCATCTCCAATCAGTCCACCAAGGAATGAGTTTCTATATGTGTAAAAATTAAAGAAAGAGAGAAAGGTCAATAGATCTATTAGAGCAGTGACTACAATTCAATAAGGGGAGACCAATTTATCACAATTTACCATTTATTTTTCTTCAGATCAAGAGCCAACATGCAATTCTGCACATTTTAAAGCCACAAATTCTCTGCACTTGAGCTTCTCATCTACTCAATCCTAATACACAAAGCAATAAATTTGTTGATCGGGATATCCATGGAGCACCTAGCAAACCACGAAGATAACTGAGGCAAAGTTAGATGCACTCATCTTATGAGGCAATGGCTCAGAATAAATAGAGAAAACATATAGATTAGTTAAATATTGCAATCTTTTATGGTTCACGGTAGTATCATAAATTTTGGTGGCAATAAGTCTAAATATACACGTGAAATTCAGATCACACCAAATTAATATAGAGTAAAAAAAATATGTTTGTGAGAAATAACACAAGAACGAAGATAAAATTGTTGCAGGAAGAAAGCTATAACTTTGACATGCTATCTAGGTTTAGGCTAGTCAGGAAGAGCAAATAGGAACACATATGGTACATGAAAGTAAATATTTCAAAGACAAACAAATGATCATAAGATTCAAAAAGTAGGCTTGTGTATTCACGTACTTAAGAGCAAACAGTTGAACTAATATTGGAATTCCAACAAACTAAACTATTCAAGAATTGAATCATATACATGTAGAGTAATTGAGTGAATAGTGATGCTCGTAGCAGAGTCAACATATAACTCAGCTAATATATGCACAGTACTATGTAATTCAGATCCTTCGCAGCCAATTGTTCAGTGGATACTTGTTGAAACAAAGAGAGGAGATCAATCCAGAAATCAGTTCCTCTTCCGGTTGCCAAGCAGAAAACAGTGGAAAAAATAACTCTAAATATATTCTCAGGAAAGAATAATCAAAGAGCAGTGATTGCAGCTATTGACATCCGAAACATATGTTAATTTTCTCCAGTGGTTGAATTAACAAAGTAACAGAATGAGAATACACGGAAGAGGGGGGGACAGAGATCCTGCAATGATTTTATCTTGAATTATTGGCCGACTTGAATTATTTATGTGAGATCTAAAGAAGAATTGGTGTGTTTCCTAATATAAAAAGACATGGAAATCAAATATAAAGGGAGTAAGGGACACGCTATCATTCATCCAACCTTGCCAAACAAATACAGAGTAGTTACTAACAAACGCTGATCAATAGCTTGATGGGGAAGTACCATGTGTAGCAAAACAGAGATCACAGAGGTTTTTAACAAAGTGAAATTACCTGCGATGGGCTCCTCAATTCCGTTTCTCCTTCCATGTCCGAGTGAGAGAGCTGCGCCCATCATCAGCACTTTGCATACCAGGCGGAGGGGATGCATGCCCCATCGCTTGCAGTGATTCGATCGGATGAGACGCCGCTGCTATGGCCTACGGTGATTCTAGATCAGGAGATACAGGACATATTGAATTATCACCTCAACAGCGCGTGGAGGTCTGGAGGATCGTCGCTGCGTTGCTATGATAGCAATGGTGGCTGTGCTAAGTGGGCTTGAGCGTCACTTAACATATCCGCATAAATCTCCATTGAACGTAGTAGTATAGTACTTTCCTGTTCCTGTGCAGATAATACTGTAATTAGCAGTACTCTTAATTAGTTTCCTTTTCTTATTTTACACAGATTTCACTTTTTGGCAGTCTAAACAGTGACACATTAATTTGTGGGAAGCTCAAAACTTCAAATCATGAGGAATAAAAGGGTGAATAGCCAGTACGGTCCCTGAAGTTTTGCTTCGAGCTCAGTTTAGTCCTTGAGATTTTAAATCGTCCAAACAAGTCCTCCAAATTAATCATTTGGGTTAACACAGTCCTTAGACCCACAAAAAATGCCATGTGAGCATGCCAATTCATTCTCGCATGCAACGGTATGAATGAAGTGATAATTCTACCCTTACTAGTTATCGTGCACGTGTAAGGCACGTTTTGGTATTATATGCATAAAAAATAGAATAATAAATGTAACCTTTTATGCCGTGTACTCCATACAAATTCTAAAGGTAAATATAGAGTTTCATAGACCATAGTAGGATGACAATTTGGATGGATCTATTAAAAAACATGCGCTGTGTGTATTTCTAGACAAACATGCACTTGCATGTGAAATCCATGTGACATAATATTTGATAAATAAATTACCAAAAATTGTCACTTACATTTTTATCTCACACGGCATCGTACACTGCCACATATTTTTAAGCAGAGAAAAAATGGCTAAGCAGATCTTCATGTAACAACCAAAGTAAACTATTTGATTCCGGCAGCACTTCTCTAGCTCCTTCGCTGTGGCAGTCAGCATGCATTCTTCTTGGTTGCATCATGTGCATGTCGGGTTTGCCCATGGCTATCATGCATGAGTAACTTAAAGTTCAGGTCTACAGTTGAAAAATCAGAAAAACAATTCAATTTAACCGCTCTACATCGTTCTCACACAAGTAACCCCACAACTCCAAGGAAAACAAGAAAGTATCTAGGCTTTCAACTTAAATGCTAACCAAGAATAGTACAGACCTTTATACTCCAGTAAAATACTAAAAAGAGCAAATGAATAATTAACCTATTCTGATCAAGTAAAGTAGTACATTCTAGTAATCAGGTATACTTTAATTCTGAATTAGCTTGCTAACTCGCTGTACATGTCCTTCTGTGTTCAACATATAACAAATTCAGACTTAAATTTTGCTGAGAGTATTTCACTGATTATTGTTAAGTAATAAGTAGACCAATGGCGGGGGGTTCTCAGTTTTGGAAAGGTCTCCATGACTGCAAAGATTGGGTGAACAGGTTGGTGGTTAAAAAAGTGGGAAATGGTAAGAAAGTGTTGTTTTGGGAGGATATTTGGCTAGGGGAGGTTCCTCTCAAAACTCTTTTTCCGTCGCTTTATATAGTTAGCAATCAACAGAATTGTTTGGTGGAGGATGTGATGGGGGCTGATAATGGGGGTTTATCTTTTAGAAGGAATCTGAACAATCAGGATTTTGAACTTTTGTCTAACTTAAAGGAGATGCTGAATGGGGTAGAACTTAATAATTCCTCAGATTGCTTAATCTGGCCTTTTGACAAAAAGAAGCTTTTCTCTACGAAGTCTATGTACAGATTGATGAAGTTTGGGGGTGTTGTTGATAAGGATATGCAGGAAATTTGGGGGAGCAAGGTCCCTCTGAAAATCAAGCATTTTCTGTTTTTAGCTGGGAGGGAAAGAATCCCCTGTGCTGATCTTTTAGTTAGCAGAAAATGGAAAGGGGGTAATAGATTTTGTAAGCTTTGTTTGAAAGTTGAATCAACCAGTCATATTCTTTTTAATTGCCCTATAGCTAAATTCGTTTGGTGCTCTGTAATTGAAGTGATTGGGGGTGATAAGGTATCTTTGAATTTTTGGGATGGGCTAAGGGTCGTCAAAAAACAGTTAGGGGTTAATCTGGGAATTTTTATTTGTGCATGTTTATGTTGGGGGTTATGGACTGTACGCAATGATTTTGTGTTTGAAAACAAATTGGTTAAAACACCTTTGCAGGTGGTTTACAGATCAATTGCTCTGGCGAATCGGTGGAAGGTACTCTTAAGAGAAAGAGAGCGCGTGGAGCTGAACGTCTGGCTTGAGAAGCTGAATCAAAAGATGAAGGAGCTGCGACCGGGAGATGTTTTACCTGATAATGCTTTGGTTTGATCCCTGGAAGTTGTCTGTATACGAATGATACTGTCTGTCAAAGTGTCTTTTTGGGTGGTTTAGTTTCTTAAGTTTTAGAGCTTCATGGATGCTGGCATCCCCAGTTTGTCTTGTGTCGTTTTGGTTTTTCTTTTCCTTTTTGTTTAAGACTCTGTATGTTGCTGTTTGGCTTTCTCCCCAAAGCCGGATAATGCATTTTACCTTACTTCAAAAAAAAAAAAGTAGACCAATGAACTTGCCAACACATGTTCCATTTGCACAAAGTATGTGATTGATTCTTGTTAAATAGGACCATAGGAAAGAACTTGCCAGGTGTTCCAAGGATCATTTAAGGTGTAACAAAAATTCCGTACCAAAAAGGGCAGAACAAATTGGAAAGACTAAAATCAGCATGTGTGTTCCATAAGAAATATTAGCCAAATAAATGAAGCTCGATAAATTGTATGATGAAAGAATATACTATCTTTAGTCCGCAGAATCTTAGTATGCAGTATATCAGCTCAATCACTTGAAGCTGATGACCCTGGAAGCTCAATCACACATCAAATTTACAATGTGAAGCAAAATTTTAAAAGTTCTTGCAAGAACATTGAGAAAATCAATTTTCTGGTTGTGACCTGCTGACCTCCAAATGTTATTAAGATAGGAAGAAAAGACATAGATAATTATTAGATATGGCATGGATAGTTAACAATCAAGCATGAAGTAAAATCACCCTTGTGGAGCATCATAGATCATCAAATGACCCTTCAGAAAATCCAGATCCTTCATTTTTTCACCAAGATTCACTTAATCCCTCAAATAAAAACAAAGAACACTTTGTGTTAAGGTTAAGGTTAGGTTTAATTACTTGCTTTAGATAAAGGTTAGGTTTACCTGAAAATCATAATTTGATAGACATAAAGGTTATGTTTACATGATTTAGAGTGTTAGAAAATATAGTGACTCCTAGCAAAATCTGCATTGGACGACAATCTGTTAAATCAGATTGTATTAAATTGTACAACGAATCTAAGAAACAACTGCACCATCATATTGAAAAGTTGGGATCCCATGTTAGCTTAACTGCTGATCTCTGGACGTCCAATCATAATTTGTGGTACATATGTGTCACTACTCACTATGTCAATGCAGATTTTGAGTTGAAGAAGTTCATTATATCATTTAAGCAAATTTCATATCCTCATACATCTTATGCTGTGCAAGATGGACTTACCTCTTGTTTGATTGAGTGGGATCTCATTGACAAATTATTTACCTTGACACTGGATAATGCAAGTGTTAATGACAAAGCTGCAAAGGAATTGCGCAATACCATGGGTGCAGAGATGTTTTTCAAAGCTGAACATTTTCATGTGAGGTGTAATGCACATATTCTGAATATAATGGTTCAAAATGGGACAAGGTTGATTACTTCTGCAATTGCAAATGTGAGAGACATTGTCAAAACAATCACATCAATACCTTCACCGATGCAAATCTTTAATTCAGTTGTGCAAAGAATGGGCCTGAAAACTAAGTCTAGACTGGTAGTTGACGTCCCACACCGTTGGAATGCTACTTATGATATGATACATGATTCATTGGCGTACAAAGCTGCTATCAATATATATGCCACTGAACAACACCATGAAACTCCAAGTGATTCAGATTGGGGTAAAGCTGAGTCTCTCCATGGATTTTTGCAAGCCTTTAGTGATGCTACCAAGACATTTTCAACAGACAGACATCCAACATCCCATCTCTTTTTGAAGATGGTATTGGCCATCCGTGATGTTTTGCTTGATGAAAGGTGGGAGCAAGATCAACTCTTGCAAGAGATGGCCAATGCTATGTATGTCAAGTTTCAAAAGTATTGGAATGTGCCTAATATTGTTCTTCTTGTGGTTGCTGTTATGGATCCTACACAAAAAATAGACTATCTCAGGTTCTATTTCTATACAATTGGACAAAATGTTGAAGAAAAGATAAAAGAGTTGCGCACATGCTTAAACAAGTACTATTTAGAGTATGAAAAAATTGCTGGAAGTTGTGAACTTCCAACATTTATTGAACGAGATGAGCATATTCTTGCAAATGATCCTAGTTCTAGCTCATTAGGAGGTGCACTTTTGGGGAAGAGATGCATAGAACTCGCATTTGCTCATTTTGCTTCACAAAACATAGAAATGCATACAAAGAAATCTGAATTAGACAATTACTTGGAGGATCCTAGAGTTCACTATAATTCTGATGAGAACTTTGATGTTTTGAGCTGGTGGAAAAGAAATGCTGATGTATACCCTACCTTATCCTTAATGGCAAGAGATTTTCTTGCAATTCCTGTCAGCACCGTATCATCTGAATCAGCATTTAGTGCTGCTGGAAGGCTATTGGGTAAAGATCGAACTTCTATGTCCCCTGAAACCCTTGAGGCAAGTATATGTTTGAAAGATTGGATAATTGGATTTGACGATGATGAAAAAGGTAAAAGATTGACATTATGTAAGGGTATGTATTATAGCATATACTTGATCTCATTTCTTGTGCTTCAATATGCAGGCTATGCAACAGAAGGATCTCGCATTTGTGATTTGGAAGACTATGTTTAATAGTTAAATGCTGAACTCTCAAGTAGAGGTATCTTTGAAAGTTAAATGTTGATTCGTAAGAATATGCTTCATGCTGCCTATTTATATGATATCTCTGACTGCATTTTTTCTATGTTTGATTGGAGCTGAATTACATGTATGATGTAGCTTGATCTGCACTATATATTTATTGGTGCACTGCATTGTTCTGTTTGTAACTTGATTGACTATGAATTATCCAATATTGCAAACTGAGGAAAGAACTTTGTCACGGTATACTAGTTAAAATAGTTATAGACATAATCACCTGTAAACTTGCAATGCATTATCCAATATCTCTATATATGTATGCTAATCTGATACCAGGGAAATCATATCTGAATTCTGAAATCATCTTAAGAGAAAATGTAGTACTGAGTTGGCAACAAACGATGCATCACCACTATCAATCTGTCACCTAAATTCTCATTTGATTTTGTCTGGTTCTCTGCTAGAAACTTGTGGTATTTATATATTTTAAAGCTCAGATGGAATGAATTGTGTTTGTACAATTACACATCAGTAGGTAGTAGCATTTAATCTCGATTACATCAAAAAATGACATGGTTTGATGCCCAACCAACTAGTAGGAGTAATAAAGCAATTCTGAATTTCCATTGCTTAAGTATAGGAACATGGATTATTGTAGTGATGCCTTCTTCAATAGGTTCTAACTTCTAACCTCATTTTGTTTCTACAGGGAGATGGGAAAATTGCACTGGACAAGCTGTGACATAAGAGGAAGGCTGAGATTAAGCATCAATAGATCTTGCTAGTACTTTTGAATGAAAAAATTCTGATCTGATTCATAGATGTTTATTAGTTTCAAGGCGTGTCTATTTGTAGCCTAATTTTGCTAAACTATTGTGTATTTCTTAAGAAAATTCAGTCATACTCTTAAACCTGGCTTAGTTTGTGGTAATCCCTATTTAACTTATCTAAAAAATATTTGTTTTACTCCCTCTAGCTGTTCTATGCATGTATCCAAAGCTTTCATGTATGTGCGATGGCTCTACAGTTGTGTATGGCTGAGCCGCTGAGGTGCTGAGCATGCTAAAAAGCCCAATGGGTTAGTCTCTTCATTGTTTATGGGTTGTCCAAGGGTTCACAAAGGGTTAGGGTTCATCAAGCACTGAAAAACTTAAAGGTTGGGGTTAGTTTGGGCTAAAAATGCATGTTAGTGGGCTAGGGTAGGGTTCAGGTGCACTATATACACATAAATGGGCAGGGGTGGGGTTCGGGGTGGGCCACGACCCATTACCAGGCCTCCATGACTATGAGTTTTCAGATCCCCAGCCAACATCTCTTGAATACTTTATCTCTTGAACGGTATGCTTAGTTGTGTAGGTTTGTCACGATCAGAAATAACCAAATAGGCTATCCAATCATGCGTGCATACTACTCTTAATATGGAAATATGTTTTAAACATATAGTTTACTAAATCATAACATGCTACAAAATCTAAATACATCGTCCACTATGCTCTAATTTTTTTAGACCCACTATCTTTTAATTTTTTAAGAGTTTTTACATAAAAATGCCACTCAACTACCCCTCACACCTCCTCTCCTCCTGTTCTCTTTCCTCCCCCATCTTCCTCCCAATCCCGACCATGGCGGGCGGCACGCGGCCGGGACAACGACGGGCGGCGCGCTCCAGACGGCGACGAGCGGTGCACGCGGGACAGTGCTCGGGCGGCACGCGGCGACGACAGCGTCTGTAGCGTCGGGCGGTGGCGGTCGGGACGACGACGGGCTGCGCAAGCGGGACGGCGCTCGGGCGGCACGCGGCAACAATAGAGTCCGCGGCGTCGAGCGGCGGCGGCCGGGACGACGCACGGGTGGCGCGCGGTGCGCGCGGAGACGATACGCGGTCGGCGGCTCGCCTGGGGACGGCGAACACTATTCTTTTATTTTTTTTCAATTTTTTTTTAGATCTAGAGCTGAAAGCTAGCCAAACACTTTTTAACGAGTCTCCAACTCCAACCAGAGCTAGCTCTCACTGGAGTTGGAGTTTGAAGCCCTACCAAACATGGCCTTAAATTGCCTGGTAAATAATACAACACATTCTTAACACCACTAGTGGTCTAATCTGGATTTAATAAAATATTATCAAGATTTCCTGCAAATAATATATGCCAAATATGTATGCATGAGACTTGAGCTAATCTCTAACTACTTTGGGTGACTGGAGAAGAAGATCAGTTTGTGTGAAGATGAAGAGGTGTTTAAGCCCAATAGTTCTGCCAGGCCCAGAATCACGAATCTTAAACAAATCGGATGCCCACAAGATCGGCTGATAAAATAAAGAAAATCCCTAATTCGGACTCCCCCACACACACCACAAAAAGAGAGAGAGAAAAAAAAAGGAGGGAGAGGAAAGGGCGGAAAACCCTCGCCGGTAGCAAAATCCCCCTCCGTCCCCTCCCCTTTTCTGTTCCACATCGGCGCAGTTGCCCATGGCGGCGGCAGAGGAGGCGATTCTGCAGAAGCGGAAGAAGCAGGCGGAGGAGATGTTGGCCCCGTTACCTTTTCCCCACCTGACGGCGGCTGAAGAGACCCCGCCCAACCCCGAAACCCCAATCTCGGGAGAGGCGGTGGCGGTGGCGGTGAGGAGAAAGGAGCGGAAGAGGAAGAATGAGGAGGCCGCGGGCGTGGGGAAGGAGAAAAAGCGAAAGAGTAGGGAGGGGCCACCGGCCCCGGAGGCGAGGAGGAAGGAGCGGAAGCGGATGCTGATGCCCAGACAACCATCTCATGACCAAATCCACGGCATCCAGGTACAAGCAAACCCTCCTCCACTGGCCGGAGGACGAGATGAAGCGTATGGCAGGAGTAGCTGCAAGAAGATCCGCGTCCTGAGCAACCGCGAGATCATCAAGATGAGGATACAATTGAGGAAGCACCAGCCACTACCTCAAGGCATTTTTGACCCAGAGATTATTATGGCTTCCAATTCCACCCAGCAGGACCCCAATCATTCTTCGCCATTCGGCGCCTTCTTTGACCAGTTCTGCTACAAACCCACCCGCCAAGATCGCACTCCCCCACTTCCTAGAACGCCTGACCTTCTAGTCAGGCCGCCGCCTCGGGATCATCTATCATCTGCTTCATCTCAGCTCATGACAAATCACACCTGCAAGATCAACAGCACCTGTAAGACAACAACCTTCAAGACAAGATCAGGACCAAACCAAGGAAATACGAAGGTAAAAGAAATGGCAAGGGTGAACAAGGAACGAAAACCAGCACCGCTGCTTAGCCGTGCTGAAAAGAGGTCAGACAAATACCGCCGCCTTCCGTTGGACCAGCTGGTGCCTCCGCCACGCTCCCCTCATAAGCTACTGCAGGAAAAATACGCTTCTGACCCGTGGAAGGTCATTGTCATCTGCATGCTCCTCAACTTAACACAGGGGAAACAAGTGAGCTGCCTGCCTGATTGTCTTTTTCTTTTTATCGTCTGCACCAAACCTACAATCGTAGAAACTAACTTGTTTGATTGGCAGGAGTTCCTAGAAGCACCAAAAGCAAATTAAGCTTACATGTGTTGCTGTTAGCCACTAACAAATAATCTTACTTGTTTTTTTGTAAACATGTCTTTCATCAACAAAAGAGTGGTTGACTGTATTCATTTGTCGCAATTTGTAATTCCAAATCATAACCAACATCGAGTACTGAAATGCATTCTGTAATTTATACAAGGAGCATCTTCCATTTTGTTGTGTTGGTCATGCCGCTGCACAATACAGCTTACAAATTTCATATCTTGTTTTAGTGTAGCACTGAGTCTAGGTTAGCATTTGCAATAGTTTAAAAGGTGAGTGATCTGATATTTCAAATGGTAAATTTGAAGGACTTCAACACCCTCTGTCAACCATTGTAGGTGAGGAGGAAAGTTAAGGGGTTCTTCAAACGATATCCTGATGCTCAAACTGCATTTAGTGCTGATCCTGAAAAGATGGCCAAGTATCTGGCTCCTCTGGGTTTGCAGCGTGTAAAAGTAAACAGAATCCAGAGATTCTCTAAGGCGTATGTTGAAGAAGAATGGACCTACATTACTGAGCTTTGTGGTGTTGGCAAGTAAGTCCCCTAACTCATCTGCTGTATATTAGTATTTGTAGAATGTTGTTTCTTATCTTTCCACATTATTAGTAATAAATAAGTTGATTTGTGCTGCAGGTACGCAGCTGATGCTTATGCAATCTTCTGTGCGGGCAGGGCAACAGAGGTGGTACCTGCAGACCATAAGTTAGTTGATTACTGGAAATATGTTTGTTTCGAGTTGCCCATGATTCAGGTAGGAATCTCGACACAAGTTTCAGTGAATTGCACATCACTTGTGAGCTAGTTTAGCTTGTATGTGAACGTTCCCTGCTCTCATTAGGATAAAACTTGATATACCTTAAGGCAAAGCAGCTGTTGGCAATGTTCATACTTTGATTGTAGCATTAAATAACAACATGGTAAACATATGCGTACATCTTAAGAGTTTTCAGCGAAGACTCATTTTCAGATATATTGTTGTTTATTGCTTGCATGTCTATAATAAATTGTGCTTACTCTATATTAGAGTTTCACTTTCACTAGTGTATATAGCTGTGCATTCACATGACTCTAATAATTTTTTTATGTGCTATGCATATGAAAATATATGAAATATAATAGGCGAACAAAGTTTTTTTTGTTAATATAGCTGTGTAATCTCTCTCTATATTTATATTATGTAGCTTAGAGATTTTTAATGTTTTAGAGAATAAAATTAGCTGGAAGTCTACTTAATACGAATTTCGGATTTATTTTTTATGTGCAATAAATAATTTATTGTAAACTTTACATTCAGATGTTAACTAAATTTACATAATTTGGGCCATCTTCTATGTTGTCTGAGTCCCAGCTTTTCCACAGTCTCTGTTGCTGCATGTCCCTCTTATCTTACCTTTATTTTTCATTGCTGCGTTTACTTTGGAAGGATACGTTTCTGAGTTTTTAATTTTGAATAAAACCAATACCTCTGTGTATTATTATGAAATTGTCCTAAAATTTAGCTTTTTTCCATTCACATTTTTTTATGAGTGTTATAACCTATATAATTTGCTGTACCCAACGTTAATTTAATCATAGGGACTTGATAAAAAAGTAACTACTTTGATGGACTGTTTTTCACATTATACCATTATTAGGTGTTGGGTTTTGCATTTTTTTTCTGTATTTAGTCTCAAGCTTTTATGCAAATTGTTTTTGAAGACCATGTGTGACTGCTGGTGTCATGTTCTGTGTGGGTTGCTTGGAAAGCCTTCTATAGTTCTATTTCTAGTTTTGTTCCTGTGCAACATTTTTTCTTTTCATTTTCTTTGCTCTCTCACCCACACCACATGTCCACATGTGAGGGGAGGTGCTGGAAAGCTCTAGAAGATATAGTTTTACTGTGTTTCACTAATTCAATCCTACGGCTTTCTGCCTTTTTTTTCCTTAATCGAATGGTCCAGCCTTTTTTTGCTTACGTGGATCAATTAGGTGATGTTTCAAGATTCACCATTCACTTATAGAGATGACCCATGACATTCACATATTATGGTAATGAGAGTTTCAAACTGGGTGGACCACAGTGAGGACATCTAGGCATAGCTTGTGCCTGATGGCAATCTGAGCAAGAATAGAGATCCCATCCAAGCATGCACAACAGCCTACATTACATTGTAGATGAAATCCATCGTTGCCATGAAGCTTCGTTAGGAGTACATGCATGCAGGTGATGCAGCGACAGCTAGCAGGACACCAGCGAAGTTAATCGCGGGATGGAAATTGCCAGCTGCTCAATCGGCGTATGAGGTGGGAGAACTCGGGACGGGACAGTAGTCGAGGCCGCCGACAGAAGGCGTGTGATGAAGAGAATGAGTGTTCTCCTTGTTAAACCGTGAATTGGAAGTGATCTTGTTGAACCTAATAGCTACTAGTAGGAAGCAATCTCGGAATAAAAATGGAAATGCCTTGCGGCTGAGCTCCAGGTAAGGAAGATGGTAAGGAAGATGTGAACGATCAGGGAAGGAAGACATGCGAGTGATCGGTGCGGGAGTTCGAACGCCTTGCGGCGGTTCCCTGTAGCAGAAGGGGACTGATCATGGTTGATATAGTGATAGAGTTTGGGGATTGGATTCAGACTCCGGAACCTGAAGAACAGTTGGAGGAAGGGCAACGCCAAGGAAATCAAACTCGAACGTGAAGTAACAGATGAAAGAACTGTGCGAAGGGCGACAGAAACACCTCTCTTTTTAAGTAGTAGAGAATATGCCAACAAGTTCTGTTTTCTTTGCTAGTTGAATTGAGACAAATGTTACGTACTTTTGTCATGTGATTTTCGACTTTCGAAAGATTTGGTAGCGGTATGCTAACCATTATCTTTTTATTGTATTGCAGCAATCTCAGGACATGCAGGAAGCTGGAGTGACTGAGATGGAGCATGCTGTCCCCAAGGTGGAGGAATTGGCCGTGTGCTGCTAAATTAATGTAAAGATGGCTGAATTAGTATATAGGCTGGTGCAAATGCTTTTGTTCTCCTTTGGTCCTCAATGTTCTGTGCTCCTGGTTCATGCTTGTCTATTTTGAAACATCTGAGAGCTTGCTAATTCTATTTTGTGATTACTGATTACTACTAAGTAGGTTGTAACAAAGTTACCAAGGCGTAGTGGCACTTAGTTTTGCCCGATAGAAAATGGGGCGCCGGAATGAAGTTGAGGATCATCTTTATTCTTCCAAACTACTATGAAAATCTAAGCTTGAGTGCACAGTAACAAATAGTGGCACTGTGGAGGCAATCCGAGCAATCAGCAGTATCTGCCTGCTCAATTAGTTAAAATCAGACAGACTCTAATTGTGACACTTTTTTTTTTCCAAAAAGAGGGAGTTTGCAAAAGAAAGCATAAGCATAGTAAAGCTGCTACGATGCTAGGGACATCCACTCCGGAATATGTGGCAGTCATGTTACAGCACGCACCTTAGTCGGCAAGGCATATGGATAGGGATTTTTCTGGCCCATAGATGTTACTGATGCGGAGAAGATTGTGCGGACTTGTGAGGGTTGTCAATTTTTTGCTAGACAAATTTATCTACCAGCTCAAGAACTGCAAACCATTCCGCTCTCGTGGCCGTTTGCGGTTTGGGGGGCTAGATATGGTTGGTTGGTCAATTCAAGGCGGACTGATGCACCTTTTTGTTGTGGTTGACGAGTTCTCTAAGCGGATTGAGGCCAAGCCGGTGGTGACGATAACAGCGGACAAAGCTAGAGATTTCTTCATCAATACTGTGCATCGGTTTGGTGTGCCTAACCGCATCATTACAAATAATAGCACTCAATTCACAGGAGGTGTTTTCAAGGATTTTTGCGAAGATTTTGGGTTAAGATTTGCTATGCTTTTGTGGCGTATCCAATGAGCAATGGCCAAGTCGAGAGCATAAATGGGATGGTTCTTCAAGGCATCAGGCTCATGTTTTTGACACGCTACGCCCTTATGCCGGCCGTTGGGTTGATGAGCAGCCCTAAGTTCTTTGGTCGCTTCGGACTACACCCAATTGGGCCACGGGCTAGTCGTCATTCTTTTTAGTATATGCGGCTGAAGCTATGTTACCGAGTGAGATGGAATTCAAATCTTTGTGTGTTTGTAACTTCAATGAAGACCGTCATGAGCAAGATAGAGTAGATCTCAACCAACTGGAAGAAGTTCGCGAGGCTGCGCTAATCCAGTCGGGACGATACCTTCAAGGACTTCGACATTATCACAACCGCAATGTCAGATCATGTGCTTTCATAGTTGGCAACATGGTTCTACGGAAGATTCAGATGACTAAAGACCGGCACAAATTATCTCCCTTGTGGGAAGGGCCTTTTATAGTCTCCGTGGTCACTCGGCTGGGGCTTACCGACTAAAACGCGAAGACGGAACGGTTGTGGATAATTCATGCAACATAGAACATCTTTGACATTTTTATGCTTAAGTTATATGTATTTTCTTTTTCTCGACTGTCGACGTCAAGCAAAATTGATTTCTTGAGTTGCCAATCGGGGGCTATCAATAATAATAGAGTATGATAATTTTTCTTCCATACAATTTATTTATATAGCTTATCATTGACTCTGTTTAAGTTTGGGTCTAGCAGATGAGGACTGAAAATTTTTTTTGATGACTTTGACAAGTTGTAGGCTTGGAAAAGTTAGAGAGAAATTCTTAAGAAATTTAAAGCTAGATCTCGGACTGAAAGCATGGCATAAATAAGTTAATATATGACAAGTTTGACCACATCTACGAGAACCTACTCATGAAAGTTGTCCAACACATCAGCAGCTATCTACCCGACAAACTCTTGAGCTTCATTTATCAACTCAAGAGCTCGCTCATCTGTGGTGCCATCAGCAAAGCCATCTCCAGCTACGCTAATATCCACTCGGGGGATACAATGATTTGACCATCGCTAGACCTTGACTTGCTCCCATGGAGGTTGCTTCCTTGATATCGTTGAAGTATTTTTCCGAAGCCTCCTCAACTTGTTAAAATTCTCAATGGCGTCTTCGGAGCTGAAACCGAGTCCGTTCTGATTTGAGCTGTGGCGTTGGCGATATCACCACGAACACTTTCAGCCTTCTTGACTTGGTTAGTGTAAACCCCCTATTTTGGAAATCGGAAATCTTCTGTGTTTATCCGTACCAATCCCTGGATCAGTAGTTGGTACACACATACATAGTTGGATCACAACATATCACAAATTAATTTAGGCTAAAAGAGTTAAATACTTACATTAGGGCCAGGTAGGCCACCAACTATCAGAGAACGATAGCGGAAGACAAAATAATATCAGGGCCCGGTTAACATGCCACGTGTAGTCGACTGGGGAACAAGACCTAGAACAAAACCGCACTCCGATCATCTTGTCAGGTACGCAAGCGTACTAACAAGGGCTTTTCTTCAACACTCTCCTAAAAGATGTATAAATAGCAAGAGTGAGTATCAACCGTACTCAGCAAGCCACCACAGCAACAATGCACATGATAAAGGGTATTCAAGGAATGGCTATGGTTCTTTTGCACAAAGCAAGTTTTGTAATTCTTTTCACAAGCCTAAGACCTAGCATAGACTGATCAAGTTTTAATACCAGTGTTCTCATTAAACAACGACGGTTCTGTCCACCATCCATTGTGATCCCAAGGATAGCTTCTCGCCATTGAGTCATCATGGTTTTCTGAGGACGTCCACCTTCCCTCCTCTCAGGAAGTGGCTCCATCAGCATAAAAATCATCATGCAATATCCCATCCCACACAAGTAAAGAATTTAGAGTCTAGCCAAGTGTAATACAGGCGGCGCGAGAGACGGCGGCGGGCGGCGCGAAGGCGGCGGCGGCGGCGGCCGAAGACAACGGCGCACGCGCGGAGGGCGGCGCTCAAGGGGGAGAGGAAAGGAAGGAGGAGAGGGGATTCCTCACCGGCGAGCACGGCGGCCGGCGCGAAGGAAGAAGGCGGCGGCGACGACCGGCGAGCAAAGGCGCGGACGGCCGGCGGCGACACCTAGGAGAGAGCGGAGAGGGGGGTTAGAAGTGGAGACGACGACCACGACGACTTTAAACGCCGGCCGACATTAGAAACCATGGCGAGCTCACCGGCAAACGTGGGGAACGGAGCTCCGGCGTCGGTCAGCGGCAACCAAGCGGCAGCCGAGGTGCGGGCGGGCTCGGTGAGCGCGACGGCGACGACTGCGCGGCGCGGCGGTGGCTCTAGCGGCGGCGACGACCGGCCGGAGCTCGGGTGCACGGCGCGAGGGCGGTAGACGGCACGGGAGAGTGCGGCAAATGGGGGAAACGAGAGAGGGGGCTCGGGGAAGGGTTTTTAAGGGTGTGGGAGGGGCGAACGTGGCCGGGAGGGTGGCCGGAACTGCCGCCGATGTGGGGAGGAGAGAGAGAGAGAGGGGGGTGGGATTCAAAATGAATCCCGCCCATTTCGTGCGCGCGCGCGGGCCGGGAGACGCGGGGGAGAGGCGGCGACGTGGGGAGGATGCGGGAGCGGTGCGGCGTGGGCGCGGGAGGAGCGGAGAAGGCGGCGGCGGTTGCCGTCGTGGGGCGGGCGGCTGGAGGAAGGGGATGACCTGACAGGTGGGCCCTACCTGTCAGCGTCTCGGAGAGAGAGGGGGAAGGGGAACGGGCCGGCCCAAAGGAAGGAGGCCGAGCGCGGCTGGGCGAGCTGGATCGGGCCGACGGCCCAAGAAGGAAAAAGGGGAAAAGAAAAGGGAAAAAGAGAAAAAGGGAAAATGGATTTTTCCTGGGATTTAAAATTGCACTTTGGTGATTTTTAATTGGTTAAAATTATTTCCAAGGCTCTGAAAATTTCACTAAAAATCTTGTTAATGCATTGGAGCATGGAGAACTCAAGAAAAATTCCACCACGCTATTTCCGATTATTAATTGCATTTATTAAATATGGAATTAGCTCTAGGTTAATTAAACAATTTCTTCGCGCAATTTATTTAACCATTTTTTTACAGCAAGGAAAAAGGGGGAAACTTCAGGGCGTGACAAACCTACCCCCTTAAACGGAATCTCAACCCCGAGATTCGGAAGAGCTGGCGAAGAGGTGCGGATGGGCGGCCTTCAACTCATCTTCTCTTTCCCAAGTGGCCTCTTCCTCTGGGTGGTGGCTCCACTGAATTTTGCAGAGTCTGATTACTTTGTTTCTGGTCCTTCTCTCACTGGTTTCGAGGATACGGGTAGGCTTCTCTACATACGTCAGATCTTCCTGAATTTCGATGTGATCCGGACTCGCCTGTTCCTCAGGAACTCTCAAACATTTCTTCAACTGAGAGACGTGGAACACATCATGGATGCCAAGCATGTTGGAGGGAAGCTCAAGCTGGTAAGCAACTTCACCCCTGCGTTCCAAAATCCAATATGGTCCCACAAAGCGTGGTGCCAACTTTCCTTTGGTTTGGAAATGGTGTACTCCCCTGAGCGGAGTGACATGGAGATACACATAATCCCCTGCTTCAAAAGCAAGCTCCCTTCGGCGGTTATCTACGTAGCTTTTCTGTCAAGATTGCGCGATCCTCAATCTTTCCCTGACAGCTCTGTCTTTCTCTTCTGCCTCATTTAAAACTTCTGTACCAAACAATTGGCATTCCCCTGTCTGATCCCAGAAGAGCGGAGTACTACACCTCCGTCCATACAATGCTTCAAACGGTGCCATTTGCAGACTAGCCTGGTAACTGTTGTTGTAAGAGAACTCGGCATACGGCAAGCTTTTGTCTCATGCTCCACCAAAATCAAGCGCACAGGCTCTCAACATATCCTCCAATATTTGGTTGACTCGCTCGGTCTGACCATCAGTCTGCGGATGGTAGGCTGTGCTGAAGTTTAGACGGGTTCCCAATTCTTCTTGCAATTTCTGCCAGAATTTTGAGGTGAATTGGCTTCCTCGATCAGACACGATCTTCTTAGGTACACCATGTAGACACATGATTCTTGACAAATAAAGCTCTGCTAACTTCTTCCCTGAGTAGGTAGTATGCACCGGAATGAAGTGAGCCACTTTGGTGAGCCGATCAACGACTACCCAAATAGAATCATGCCCCGATGACGTCCTGGGCAAACCGGTAATGAAATCCATTCCAATTTCTTTCCATTTCCATTCTGGAATTTGAAGTGGTTGTAGCAAACCTGCTGGCCTTTGGTGTTCTGCCTTTACTCGCTGACAGACATCACAGAGCGCGACGAATTCAGCT